ATGCCAATCCATCGTAAAGTGACAGCGCGCTCCCGTGATCAGCTATTTGCATAAATCCCCGCCCATGAATTGCCAATAACCACCATATAAGGAGGTGTAGATGCATCCAGTCGACGTGTTAGTCATGGCGTAAACAAAGAAAGAGAGAGAAAGAAAAAAGAATAATTCCGAAGCGGAGACAGAAATAATTTTCGGTGAAGTGGAGTTAAGAAAAAACATTTTATTTTCATCTGTTAGCAGTGGTGTGACAGGGACAGGCAAAGCGAAGGCCTGGAGGGAGGTGACAGATGCCGTTAATGTTGTCGCTGTAGTCCAAAGATCCATGTCCGAGGTGAAGAGTAAATGGTCTGACATGAACCTGGAGGCAAAGAAACGCATAAGCGCACACAAAAAAATACATCAACCACAGGAGGAGGAGGCTTACAGTCACAACTCGTCCCATGAATAACAAAAGGCCGCAAGTGAAATTCCTGATGAAACCTGTTTTTCTGCACCAAGTGGTGCAGAAAAACAGGTTTCATCAGGAATGTCACTTGCGACCTTTTGTTATTCATGCGACGAACTATCAACCGCAGACGAGCGCATCGCTGGCATAATTGGAGAGACCTCTCTGCTAGGAATTATACCTGACGGAGACAGCGACATGCCTCCACTTTTATTTTTTTATTATCATCATTCAACATCATTCAACATGTAGAAAGAACGTGTCATCTATTGAGTCGATTCACATAGATAATTCACAATCATGAACCTAATCTGGATCTTAAACCTGCCAATTGCCAACTAATTTAACTAAATGTGTTATATTTTTAATCGTTTGTCATGTTTAGGATATATCACGTGTTTCAAAGGCATCTGCGTATTGTATACATAACAGAGCGCAATATGAATTAAAATTGTTAATTCCAATAGTGACAAGCATTATTTCTGTGCATTCTTATATTTATACAAGCACAACCCGTGGTCAGCAGCATGTGTAGATTTGGCTAGTAGCTACGAAAAGATCGGAGTTACTAAAATATTGATGAATGCGGAATAGCATGTTAATTCCCGTCTGCGAACAGTTTACACACAAATTCGTTCTGCTCACGTTTAATGAATGCCACCCAGGAACCACCACCAGTCAACGCTGATTCGGTCAATCAACTTACTATTGCGAGTAGTGTTGTGTCACTCGCGAACGTATACTGCACACAGCGAGGGGAGTCTGTCAGGGCGGGAGGATTCTCGTTCACTGAACGAACTGCCGACAGTAGCGCTCTTTGTCACTCACTCGCACACAGGGACCTGTCGCTGAGAACGTGATTCACGTTCACGCATACATGCCAACTGTAGACTACCGCTTCCGGGCCTTTACAGCGGCGGCGTTAGACCTGGGCTAATATCCCTCCCTTTATTACCAATTATAAAACGGGTGCTTCCCCTCCTTAAATGTGATTGGCTGAGCCGCGTTCCATGCCGGTATAAAATCACTGTAACCCACTATACTCTGAGGTAGACTGTAGCATGAAATATCGGTGCGTGCCTGGCCTCGCAACCAACTACTCTGCGCTCGACTGACTCGTTAGGTTACGTTTGTTTCAAGACTTTTAGCTCGCTATTTCAGTGTTAGCGATGTTTAGCCTTTTAACCCGCTAACCAGTTGGCTATCTACCTAGCTAGCTATAGCATTATAGATTTCGATATCACTTTAGCTTGCTAGCGACGTTGCTAATTAGCTCGCTATTTCAGTATTAGCGATAAATTGTTGATTTTTTTTTTCTTGTGTGTTTATTTTATGGGCTATGTGTAGGGTAAACACATCCACTATAGTGAACGCTAGCTGGTTGACAAGCTGGCTGGTAAACTAATGCACAATTCAACATTTTCCTGGACACCGGCAAGTGTGGAGGATCTTGTTCCCTACTCTCGCTGCTGGTTGTAATGATATGGCCGATAGGCGTGAGTTGAGAACAAGGAAACTCGAAAACCGAAATGAACGTAAAATTATTTAACGGGGCCTTCGGGAGACCGAAGGAGACATTGCAAATAGCCTGCTTTCATAGTATATCTACGTTAACGAGCCCAAATAGCCTGATATGACATGATAATGGCGCTAGATGAAAAAGCAATCTTAGCGTCTGTGTTGCTTGCCAACCATTCTGACCACTCGATCTTGCTTGGTGGAAGAACGAATAGTTCTCAATTTTATTGTTGCATTATTACCATTAAATTGTTGTTGTTTTTTTTTCTTGTGTGTTTATTTAATGGGCTATATGTAGGGTAACCGTTTTATAAAAGCAATAAGCCCCTTGAAGCAGTGGGTTACAGTGATTTTCTAACGGCGGAGGGGCACTAAGGAACTCCGCTGCGCGTCGTGCCTTAGAACGCCCCTCCGCCATTATAAAATCACTGTAACCCACTGCTTCTCGGGTCTTATTCCTTTATTAGTCCTGGCTAATTCTTGATGGTTTTCCTTTATTAACACGTTTTCCATTTCAAGAATAATCAAGTGGCAATTGATGACACGGCTTCTCTCCCCCATGCGATCTAAAAGCGACAAAATAATGGGCTGCATTCAGTACAGAGAAATAATTTAATTGTAATTAGGTCTTTGCACCGGCACTCGGCGACAGCATTTCAGAACTCTTCAGCGAATGAAGGTAATTTTGGTGATTAGTACGTGGATTCGTCCGATTACATTTTTCAATCAGACAGCTATCCATTTTTTACAGCGAGTTGCGTGACCGTGCTGCAAAAACAGGTGTAGGCTACCCAGCGGGCACACAACGTCTTAAGGACGTCTTTTGCGGGTTGCAGAATAGTTGGAGGTTGTGAGTGGAACTCAACGCCTTTAAGACCTCATGGAGACGTTGTGTCACAACGTCGAAAAAAAGGTTTCGTGGCAACGTTGTAAGCACGTCTCCCTTTTCGTTTGTGATATAAAGGTGACAACCATTTTTTTCAATCATTTTTTTCTTTCAGTGTCCTTGATAGAGAATATTAGTTGCTAACCTTGGAAAGACACACGCACACATGCACACTCATATTTAATTTCAAAACAAAACTGCAAACTTGAGACTTCTCGGGTGTTGATCTTTACCGCTAGAGGGAGTCAAACACTATTTCTACCATCGGGCTCGAGCCACCACTACCTATCTTCGAAGATCTTTCACCAGTGAGGACCGTTGCGAACAGGTGAGTGGGGAAAAAAATTAAGTAAAAAAAAAAGTTTCATTTATACTTCATTTAAAGTTGACTAAACTTTACAGTGTTTATCACAAGGTAATCAAGAATTTATGGAAATGTAAAACGTTGGTGCTGTATGCTGTTACTGTATCTCCAATGTGTGAGCTCGAGATATCAAATTTATGAAAAGCGAGCAGCTAGCTAGCTAACATTGGTCATTTCCGTTTATTCCGAGCCTTCGACGAGGAATAAATGAAAAGTACTTACCGATTTTTACTAATTCGATATCTCCGGCTCACGAATTTGAGTTCCTATTCATCCTATGATTGTCAGTGTCGTCTTATTTGGAAGATGGAAAAATTGCGTTAGCGTTTAGTTGGCGCCTGATGATCTATCCAAGTCAATGGGATGAATAGCTATCGTGATAATGCTTTTTGCTATTACTAAATTCAAGCCTTTACGGTAAGTGTCACTTGTAACGTATTTAATGGCCAAAAAGCGGCAGCATGCTAGCTTACGTTTTAATCGTCCCATTGATTTGAATAGACCGTCAACTAGAAGCTAACGCCGGCTAGGAAGGTTACGAGCAGAAGTGTCTCCTGAGTGAGACCCACTTTCCAGCCGTTTTACGTGCCTCGTAATTGGTGATCAGAACGAAGCGCTAGTGGGAGTAATTTATACATGTTTGAGAGTCTATATTTCAAATTCGATGTGCATATTTTCTTTTGGGAATTTTTCCTTTATTTGACAGTTGTACAGTGTAGAGAGACAGGAAAGTTGGGGAGAAGAATGGGGGAAGGCATGCAGCAAATGACCTGAGCTGAAATCGAACCCCGGTCGCTGCAGTAAGGACACAGCCTTTATAGTATGCGCGTTTAGACCGATGAGCCACCGGGGCGCCCCAGATGTGCATATTTTCCGCTATATTCATTTAGTGGCGCTTCAGAATGGGATTTTTATTTTTTTATTTTTTTATTATTATTTTTTTTTACTCCGAGTTGCAGTCGACCACAGCGGTGGGCTCAGAACAAACGGTCTCCCGCTCAGTCTATGAGCGCGAGCGAGTGGAATACTGCCAGAATGTCAAACACTCCTGATGTCATGACAACCACAACCGCGCGAGCAATTTCTTCACATTTTATAGAATTTTCGAATGATGTTAGACCACCTTACGTTACCCTTACTGGAGCTGAAGAACTAGTAAGAAGGTGTACGTTATTATGGATAGATAACGTTAAAGTAGATTGAAGTTAATCCCACAGCTGTAGTACTAGATAAAAAAAACCGTTCTGCGTTTCGTCACGCTGTTAATATGTAGCTAAACTGAATACCAAGTAAGCGCAATGGTAGGATGCCTGCGAATTAACTAACGTTTCCATTAAGGCGCTGACAGAAATTACATTTGTCTTCAATTAATTTATGCTATTCTGTCAGGTGATAAACAGAACCTTATTCACTTGGTGATACCACATAACAAATTTGGCTCCTTTCATAACTTTTATCAGCACCAGACAAAAAGATTGTTGTTTCATGCTACAAAATGGTTCTTTTTTTCTTTCATTCATTTTCTATACCCGCTTATTCCTCACTAGGGTCACGGGGCGAGCTGGAGCCTATCCCAGCTGACTATGGGCAAAGGCAGGGACCCACCCTGGACAGCTTGCCAATGCATCACAGGGCACACACACCGTTCACTCTCACATGCATACCTTTGGGCAATTTAGTGTTTCCAATTAACCTGATATGCATGTCTTTGGACTGTGGGAGGAAACCGGAGTACCCGGAGAAAACCCACGCGAACACGGAGAGAACATGCAAACTCCACACAGAAAGGCCCCAGGCCGGATTCGTACCCACAACCTTCTTTGTGAGGTAGCAATGCTAACCACTGCGCCACCATGCCGCCAAGCTAGCATCTTTTTGTCTTTTGAGAGAAAGGAGGGATGGGAAAACCTTTGTGGCAGACATAGTGCACCCACAAGCGTGCCAAGACCTTTACATAACACCTTGTTCATCATCCTAGCTGAACAAACTGTATATGAGATCAGTGCACAACTGCCCCAGAAGATTAGTGTCCACGGCAGAACTGAGATAAAAAGCTTTGTGTCTACCCTACAAAGAAGGATATGCAGTAATGCCAATGTTGCATGCTTGTGAGATACTGAAAAACACCTTTGAGGTTAGTTTCCAAATGTAACTAACAAAATATAAGTAGTTTAAAGACTTTTTGTGTTTTTTAGGAGTCAAAGATAGGACAGAAATTGTAATTTTATTACCTAATCTCCTGCAGACTATGTTAGACATATCAAATCTTAGTTCAACCATTTTCAGACATGTTCTTTTTGGATATTACCACCTAACATTTATGTACTCTGGGAAGCAACTAATAGCATTACTTATACTAACCCACATGGAAAATTGGAAATAGCCAAATTAAAATGTCTCAGGGTCTGAAATGTTGGAAAAAAAGATGTGCAGCAACAATTGCTACAAAAAGATAAATTTGTATAGCAATGGCTGAAATTTGTATAGCACTTTTTTGTCAGGTTTTTTATTTTTTTTTTTTTGCCCATTTTCTTCTAATGAGCATGTTAGCCTGCCATGCCTGTTATTAATCTGTAGCGCTACTTATCACAGTGTGCTTTGTTGTATTCCCAATTGCTATGTAGTGGCTGCATCCAGGGGTGCAGTCGGATTGCAATTCGGCCCTGGCATTTTCCCTGGGGGGGTTATGTTTAAAAACAAATAATTCTATGTAAATTAATGATCATACTTATTGTCCTGAAATACATTAAACAATGATGCTGTCCCAAATTCAAAACATAACAACAGTAATAATACCACCTCATTAAAAATACATTAGTTTATATGCTGACAATGTTATCATTATTATTATAACTCCATGAATGAATGTGAAAAAGAAATGTGACTTTGAGGCCATTTAGACTGCAGAATTTTTCCACTAAGAACATTGCATTATTAGGACTGATGCAAACATATCCTTTTTAAAATAATGTTACATACCTTAATTTACAGACTGTAAATAACATAGCATAGCCCACTAGCTTCAGAACTGTAGAACTAGCAGGTTACTAGTCTAATGATGACAGGTGATTCTGAACGTCATGACACGGCTTTGGAATGCAAAGTTTGGAAAGTCTTCCTGAATTCCAGGACAATTTCACTTGACGCTGTGAAGGAAACTAGTAATACGCATCGATGTGCATTAAACAGTAGGCTAATAACATTGTGTCCATCAGTGGGGTCGTTTTGTTAGCTCAAACAAATTTTTACCGAACACACACTTGCGATAGCCTGTTAATTTAACATCAATCTTACCAGTTCTGTGTCCCCCTCCAAATGAAAACTGCTTGCTACATGAGGGTCATTTTGGCCAAACTGCTGGTCAAGTTTTATCATTTGGAAGCCAGAGCCTCTAATTGCTGCCGCTTTATGGGGACCTGGGGTGATCTGGGGTTAAATGAAAAATGACACCAGGAAACAACTCAGAAATAATCTAAAGAGGTATGTGTAATAACCACCAAAAAAGATACAAGTTGGCATTTTTATGTTTGTGCGGTTGCCATGGTAACCGAGCAAGCTCATTAAATATGCAGAAAACTTCTGGCACCAATTCCTCTTTCACTCTGTGATAGAATTCAGTTTTTCTTTAATCATTTAAAAGCCATTGCTTATCCAAATGCAATGACATAGCCATTCTTTGCCCAATTTATCAGTTTTGTGATTTTGGGGCATTTTACTCAAATTTTGAAATTATTTTGCGCAGAATCTGATGAATACTCAAAATATTCAAAGTATGTAACAGATAGGGAAATTTTGCCTATGTCATTGCATTTCTAATGAAGCAAAGTACCTGCAGCCCAAATTTCATTGATTTTGAATGATAAATAAAAAAGTTATGGCTGCCACAAACATGAGAAACGTGGAAAAAGTAATACCTTACGAACTCAATGGAAAATGCATTAGACCGCATTGAAAAGTGTAATTCATTTTTCAATCCTTGTAGCAATTAGTGATTATTAAAGGTGGGTTATTATGGAATATTTTTATTCAAAAAAATTTTTTTGGAAAAATAATCAAATTGTGCCCATTCAACCCCAGATCACCCCTTAATTCTCTGGGCTTTCTCTCTCCTCCTCTCCCTTTCGACATTTTCGTCTGATCTCCATAGTCATTGATGCGTGTTTCTAGATTAACACAGCAGGGGACTATAGGCCATTGGTCAAACTAATTTCCCATCAAGCCTGCCTTTGTAAATATTTGGGACGAAAATATTGAAATTAAATATTTGTTTTTATTTGCAAGGAAACGGTTTTTCGGACATTTCTATAGCGTAAGGTAAATATACATATTGATGCAAAGACGTTGATTAGAATTGGAGAACACCCGTAATAGCATAGTGCAACGAGCAAAAGGGGTCTTTAAGCGTATAATACGACAAAATTACCAGACTATACAGGTGTGTTCTGTAATAGAGCTGTGCTGATTCTGCACCATGTTTCTTTTAAAGGCGTAGTACCACCACCTGGTGCCATGGGATGAACATCCGAGCTTTCCCTTCTCCTTTATGGTACCTGACGCAGGTTGAACGAAAGTGCCAAACATCAATGGGCATGTGAAATTCTGCCGGAAAAAAACTTGACGAATATCAGTATTTTTTGATATCAGCCCTATTCTGTAAAGCAAGTCGGCGTTCATGACGGTTTATTTTGGAATATATATCGAGTTGTGGGAAATCAGGTCCATGAAAGAGAGTAAGTATTTAACTATGCAGTGGTTTGCCCGGATTAATTCAGTCATGTCCGCGAATCAGGCTACCACTGATTTAACCTGTGGACCGGTATATGAATAGTGCAGCAATGCTGGGAAGCGGGAAAGGGTGGCAAGCGGGAGCGTAGCGACTACATTGTTGTCGATTAAACAGAACATCAGTAACAGTTACTCCGATTGCAAATGTTGCAAAGCAAAAGTAGATTTGAATCGCACTGTAGCCGTTTTTTGCATCGCAAATTGCGGTCGATACTGGACATTTCGGACCCTGTGTCTTATAAATAATAAGTGAACATTTGCTGTTGAAATGAACCATGTGATAGACAGAGTATGGACTATGTTATAAAAATTTGCTTTTTTTTTTCAACAGATGGCTTGGATTAGAGTTGTGTGGAAAGAAGTACAGGGTGGGAAAGAAGTTGAGTATGAGGATGTCTGTCCCAATGTATGGGTGGATGACAAATTCATTAGATGGCCAAAAAAGACGATCAGAAATGCATCAAGGAGCGAAAGGACACCGGGCCAATTCTGGCATAGATTTCCACTTGAAAATCAAGTGTAAATCAAGTAAGTTTTTTTTTGTATAAATTGCAACAGTTATCTACATCTACATAGATACATCAAAATAAAGTTCATCGGGCTATAGGCTATGTAAAAAAGTCAGTCCTGAAAGCAATATTTGAGTAACTCAGTCTCACCATAATGATTATGTGAATATATGTATATTGTGCTTTATATTTATTAAGCGATGTGCAACCCTAATTCCGAAATAGTTGGGACAAAGTGTAAATTGTGAATAAAATCAATACGCAATGACTTTCAAATCACACCAGCCAGTATTTTATTCACAATAGAACAGAGATAACATAGCAAATGTTGAAACTGAGAAATTTTACAATTTTATCCACAAAATGAGCTCATTTCAAATTCGATGGCTGCTACAGGTCTCAAAAAAGTTGGGACAGGGGCCTGTTTACCATGGTGTATCATCCCCTCTTCTTTTTAACAGAGAGTAGAGGCGTCTGGGCATTGAGGAGACAAGTTTCTTGAGTTTAGCCATTGAAATTTGATCCCACTCTTGTTTAATACAGGCTTCCAGCCGCTGGAGAGTTTTGGGTCTCCTCTGACGGACTTTTTGTTTAATTATGCGCCATCAGGACTGCAAGCAGGCCAGTTCAGCACATGGACTCTTCTACTACAAAGCCATGCTGTTGTAATAGCTGCAGTATGTAGTTTTGCATTGTCCTGCTGAAATACACAAGGCCTTTCCTGGAATAGATGTTGCCTGGAGGGGAGCAACCTTTATATACCTTTCAGCATTCATGGTGCTTTTTAAAACATGCAAGTGTCCCACACCATATGCACTAATGCATCCCCATACCATCAGAGATGCTGGCTTTTGAACTGAACGCTGATAACAGGAGGGGTGGTCTTTCTCCTCTTTAGCCCAGAGGACACGACGCTCATGATTTCCAACAAGAGTGTCAAATTTGGACTCGTCTGACCAAAGGACACTTTGCCACTTTGCTACAGTCCATTTTAAATGAGCCTTGGCCCACAGAACACGGTAGTGCTTCTGGATCATGCTGAACAATGTCTTCCTTTTTGCATGATAGAGTTTTAGGTGGCATCTGTGGATGGCACGGTGGACTGAAGTGTTCCTGGGCCCATTTAGTAATGTCAAGACAGAATCATGCTGGTGAGTGATGCAGTGGCGTCTGAGGGTCCGAAGATCACGGGCATCCAGTCAAGGTCTTCGGCCTTGACCCTTACGCACAGAGATTTTTCCAGATTCTCTGAATCTTTTGATGATGTTATGCACTGTTGATGATGAGCCCTTCAAAACCTTTGCAATTTCACATTGAGGAACATTGTTTTTAAAGTATTCCACAATTTTTTTTATGCAAGCCTTCGCAGGTTGGAGAGCCTCTGGGCATCTTTACTTCTGAGAGACTCAGCCTGTCTAAGACATCCCCTTTATAGCCAATCGTGTTACAGACTTGATGCCAGTTAACTTAATTACTTGCTAAATGTTCTTTCAGCTGATTCTCTTATATATTAATTGCTTTATCAGCCCTTTTTTTTTTTTTTTTTGCCGTGTCCCAACCTTTT